TGCGATGCGGTATATACAATATTATGTATTTCAACTGTTTTGAGATGACGATGCACTGGTGCAAACTATTTTTACTCACATTAAATGTTAAAATATTTTCACATCAGTTAATCATTGTTTTGCCTCTATCGTTACACAGAATTGGCACAAAACTTCTTACACGATATCATTAAAAATTCTCATGCTTTTTGGATTTATACTCTTCTATCACGAAACCTTCATTAGCTCGATATTAATAAATTATACCATGTCGTGTGTAGTATCAAATTTACACGAGAATCGGACATCTTTCACCTCACTCGAGAAACATGATAAGTTTAATCTCCGGTTTATTGGCTCTTGTTTCGTCTGTCGCCGTAATACAATCTATTATCATATCGCTGTTTTGACGGCAATCGTTAATTCTCTGTCAATCAAATAAATTAACATAATTTGATTCTATTGGTTGAAATGATCAGCCGATGAAAGCACTGTTAGTTTCCTGAATTAAGTCTTTCGTTGAGCCGCTGAAAGGAATTTCTCACTAATTAAGTACAGCGTCATTGAAGCTTTGGCTTTTGGTTCGATGTAAACTGGCCCGAACAAAGGACGCGTTTGCGAGGCCGGAAGAAGAAGGGTTATATCGGGTGAAGAGAGATCGCCAACCGTCATTCTGGACTTCGTCGTTCAGTTACCAAATCTCTGCGATCGATCAATTACCATGCTCGTGTTGCCGTTTGTTACATAGGCTACATTCTACTTGTGCTTGTACGACTAATTAATTGACAGACCATCGGATATTTGCACCGGTCGTTGGATGAGTTGATTTTTTTTATATATTATACATAAGCTTGCTTATTATTATAATAACGAGTGATTCTTCAGGAAGTTAATCATTCGTTTCCTATACACTCAAAAAAGAAATGTTTAATTTTGAGATATTAAAATGTTTTATTCTTGTTTCCATTTTTTAAATATTTAAAGACTTTAGTTTTAAACTTTTTTAATAGACAAAACACTATGTATTTGAATTGAAAATAATATGTTTTAAATCTAAACACATACACTCTAAATTTCTTGTAGTGAAATTTTACTCCAAGAGAGTAAAAATACAATCATTCTTGAAAAAAAGTGAAAATATTTATTAACTTTCTTGGAAAAAAGTAACAATCTTCATTCTTTTTAGAATGAAATTTCACTATTTTGAAGTGAGATTTCACTTCTTTGAAGTGAAAATTTACTCTAAAAAGAATGAAAATTGTTACTCTTTTTGAAGAAGTGAAATATTTTCACTTTTTTTCAAAAGTAGTTGTATTTTTACTTTCTTGGAGTGAGATTTCACTGTAAGAAATTTAGAGTGTAGTATTTTGTTTATTAAAAAAGTTTAAAACTAAAACATCCTTAAGTATAAAATAACAATTTTACCCACAATATTCAAACAACACATTATGTTACATTAACACGCGAATGTAATAAAAATTCGATGCAATAGTATTAATAAGGATCGGTTTCAACACAAATATAACATGTTTTCTACTGTATAGAAACACAGACCACTTTCTAGCTGTTTAAAAGTAATCCCTGCGATATGTCCAAGTTTCTGCACGTTGGATTTACTGAAGATAATATGTTGTTGATGGATACTCGCGATGTATGTAACAAGATTGTATGTCAGATATTGATTGGATTTGCTTTCAGCAAACTAAAGAACGTTTATATACAGCTGTTGCAATAACACATCAAAGATAATCACGGTTTTGCTCGAATTGCATCCGTTGCGCGTGATTCAAAGACTGCTTGTTACAATCTCCTATTTTGTTCAAATCCGTACAAAATACTCAATTCCCGTTTGTCTTTGATTGGTTGAATATGCGATTGTCAGAAAGGAATGGTACGTGAATTGAACAGGATTTTTTAAAAGGGTTTGAAGCGTAAAAATCTCGTTTTACTTTCACAATCTTGAAGCGATGAAAAACGCTGTTAAAAATCTTATTTCGATAAAATTTATTTTATAAATTAAATAACACGAACTTTTACTATAGTGTTATGTTCTTACAAAATAATATATTAATAGAATAAAATATCGGGATGAGAATCATCTTTTCTTCAGGATTTTCTTCATCTTTGCTTATGAATACTTCAAGACTCCTTTATCTTATTTTATTCATTCATTTCAATATTGCATAGAAAACACTTAAGTTTTATTCGATAAGATCTTATAATTCGCGTATCATGCGATCTCTTCACGCTCACGATCGTCTCGTATCGCTTCTGGCTATAAGTTATTCTGATTTGCACATGAAATTGGATGCATCGATTTTTAGCGATACATTTATCGGTGGTACTCGCGTTATCCGATAAGACAAATGCCGTAGGCGAATGACAAAAGTAGTCTAGATTAGAATTGGAACATTTAGATCGCTCGGAAGTGCTTCGCGAAGGTACACCGGCCATTTTATAAAATCACCGTCCATCTATTCGGATTGGAAAATGTATTCAGTCTACTGAGTGATTCTGTTGAATATTACTTTATCATCTTACTCACACACCTTTTGTTCTTCGCGCACGTATAAAGCT